CTTAAGGTGATACAGTGTATGGTGAAGAGGGATTCATATCCGTAACTTCAGAGCTCATCCACCTAACCATCTCATTGTATTTCTTCTTTTTGGATATTACTTACCTCAGCTGCAGTAAATTTTTCCCTTGGCCCAGCTGTAATCCATAGTTTCACCCCAATTAGCTTCTCAGATGTGATTTCATCTTTTAAGCTAGAAATAGGATTTTAAAAGTGTTAGATTCATAATTTAAACCAATTTATGAATTACTCTTGCCTCTAGACTGTATGGAACCAGATGCCACAGAGACCCAGAGATGAAGGGATTTAGCAGTACTGAGTGCAGCCTCTCTCCCGAAGTGAGAATCCCCTCTACAGGCTTGTCCCAGATCAGGCTCTGTTCAAATACTTCCCATAGGCCAAGATGCCCAAATTAAACCATACAAGGGTATACAGAGTCCTCCAACTACTAAATCAATCAGCTCTACAATTAGCATGTATAATTACATATCCTTACCCATTAAGAAAAACCATTTATATACACAACAAAGGCAGAGAGGAATTCTCATCTTTCCTTTCCCTAAACTGAAGTATTGATCTAAGTTAAAATATGGAGAAAGCCTCTAACCTCTTAAAAAGTTATATATGTATAATTAGAATAATTATTTGATTTGTGATTTGGGGGGACAACTTAATATACCAATTGCCAACTTTCAAAAGAGGTATTTTTATAATAATTTACTTTTTTTCCTTTTTGAGAGCGAGAAGAGGAAAGGCGCAGAAGGAGAGAGAGAATCTCAAGCAGACTACACACTCATTGAGGAGCCCAATGTAGGACTTGATCCCATGGCCCTGGGATCATGACCTGAGTTGAAAGTAGGAGTCAGATGTTCAACAAACTGAGCCACGCAGGCGCCCCATAATCATTTATTTACTTCTGAATGTTCTTTGAATTCCTCCTGCCTAAACAATCTCTTACATAAGAAAGTAAAGACTTTCCAATATTACCAGCAGGCTATTATCATCACTTAGAAGAAAAACAATATACATGGTCACCTCTGAATCTTCCAATTACTCCGAAGTCTTTTCTGCATGGATTTATAGCCATTGTTGGTGGTAAATACTTCTTTTTTGTATGCATTGAAAAGAATGGTGCTTCGAAGCTCTTTCTCCATGGTTACCTTATGGAAAAAAGGGATCAGAAAAAAGGAAACAATAAACAATATTCCGAAAGACCATAAGGGGAAAAAATAATCTTCTAATTTACCAAGAGAGGAAATACAGCTGCAACCTAGTTGTGAAATCCCTACAATTCTCAAAGATTGAGAATGAAATGCATAATCACAGGGGCAGAAACCTGAGGCCAACTCTGGCTTTCACCTCTTAATCTGTGGTCCTGGCCTTCCCACCAGCTTATTCTCAGGACCCTGCTCTGCCATCACCCTACCTTTATGCCCACAGACCACATTTCCCACCTGATTTCTGACTGCTAACTAATGTTAAACCTGGGGTATAGTCTTCCAGATTCTTTTTATTTTTTATGCTTATTTATTTATTTTGAGAGAAAGAGAGCATGAGCAAGGGAATGGCAGAAAAAGAGGGAGAGAGAATGTCAAACAGGCTCCAAGCTGCCAGTGCAGGGCCCCATATGGGGCTCCAACTCACTAACCATGAGATCATGAACTGAGCTGAAATCAAGAGTTGGACACTTAACTGACTGAGCCACCCAGGCGCTCCTGGTTTAATACTTTTCTGACATTAATGACTTTTATAAATTTACCTTAGACTTAGCTTCTAGTAGCTTTTATTGGTTTGCCTTGGTAGAATTTTGGATGCCATACAGAACGTTCTGAATTTTAGAGTCAATAATATTTATCTTTTCCTTTCTTGCTTTTGGATTACATGACATACTTAGAAATTTTTTTTTTTTTTGCTGTGCTAAGTTAACAAACACATACAACAATGCTTTCCTCCAGTACTTTGTTATGTGGTTAAGTTAAATTTGGTTTGGAATTTATCTGGATGATCAAAATGAGCCTCATTATTGTTTTTGTTTTTGAATTATAATAAAGCTGCCTGATACCAAACCATCTTAATGCTGATTTGAAATACCACCTTGACTACATAATAAATCCCTGTAAGCATTTGTATTTGCATCTATCCTGAATTCAATTATTTTCTATCTGCATGTAAGTTCCTTCTCATTTCCATACTATTTTAATTATTACAGCTTTATAATATGTTATAATAACTAGGGGTGCTGGAGAGCTAATCCTCCTATTACATTAACTTTTTAATACTTTCCTGGCTAGTCTCATATATTTTTTTGTTCCAGTTGAAGTTTAAAATCATTTTGTCAGCTTAAAAAAAAACCCTCATGAATACAGCACATCTTTTCATGTTCCAACCATCCGTGTACACCTTTGTTTTCCCACTGTGTAAATACAATACTGTATTCAGCCTTTCCCAGTTTCCTAAAAGTCGAGTCTCCATGGTTAGGATAGTGATTGCATGATCTACTGCATGGTTATGCCCTAATGAGCTCCACCACTCCTTTCATGAACATCTTTTCAATTATTTTACCTTCACAAACCCTACTGGAATTTACACACTTCTGTCTTCGCCGTTATTTTTGCGTAAGACAAATTCCCAGGAGTAGGATTCCTAGGAAAAGGGGATGAGACAATGCTCTTTCATACCCTACAAGACGACGAAACATCCCCAGCCGCAGGCAACGGAGATTCGAATACAGTTCGAGGTTCAGGATCCGGGCCTATACGTGCGGCCTCAGTTTACTTCAAAGGACCTCGATTTTCCAGAAGACTTGCCCAGAGGCCCCGAGAACTGGCCGGGGAGGCCCCCCGCCAGCTCCCAGGCCGCTACAGCGGCCAGGCCGGCCCATCACAGTCGGAGCCCTTCTTACCTGAGGCCCAGTGACCACCATCTTCACCTGACACCGCCCAGCATCCTGCGTTCAGGGTATCCAGCGCAGCTTGGCAACGGCGTAGGCGAGGCAGAGCGCTGCGGAGGCGTGCACTGCGGCGCGGACCTACCTCCGAGGCAACGTGATGACGACAGAACGGAAGACGCCATTGCGCCTTGAGAGTCACGGGCTAGAGAACAGGGGGCGGGGCTACTATGGGACTGTACCATTATATTGGATGAGGGGTAAACCCAAACAGAACGTGGATTAACTTTTGGCCAAGGATAAACCCATCTCGTTTCGTACTTTAATATCAAGCATTATTAGAGATTGATAAAAATGGTAGGACGCTACGGCCCAAACTTCGCTCCACCCTGAGGGAGAAAAGTGAAGGCTTCCGGCTGTGGCTGGGGGCGGGGAGAGGGGGCGGGAAGTGCCGCCGCCGCAACTCCAGGAGCGCAGGCGCACAGCGGCGGGGCGAACTGGGGCGGGGCGAACAGAGCAGGGGGCGGAGTCGAGCTGTCGGGAAAGCTGGATGACAGGCTCTGTACGAGCTTTGGAAGGGTTTTGGCGACTAGAATGGGGGAAGACTTCCCGGGATAAGATGGAGAAGCTTAGGGGCGCCTGGGTGGCTTAGTCGGTTAAGCGTCCGACTTTCGCTTGGGTCATGATCTCGCGGTTCGTGGGTTCGAGCCCCGCGTCGGGCTCTGTGCTGACTGCCAGCTCAGAGCCTGGAGCCTGTTTCAGTCTGTGACTCCCTCTCTCTCTGACCCTCCCCTGCTCATGCTGTCTCTATCTCTCTCCTAGAAATAAATAAAACATTAAAAAAAAAAAAAGATGGAGAAGCTTAGTGGTGCGAATGGTCACTCGAGATAGTTCTTCCTCTTTAGTTAGCTTCGCATCTCTGAGTGCCACAGTGCTAGGCCCAAGATATGGCGGTGAGGTCACCTTCTAGGCCTTACCAGATGGGGAGTTAGACCTTGGCCAGATCCTACCAAACAGCGAAAATATAAACGGCACGAAGGTAGCTGTGAGGGGCCGGAGCTGGTCTGAAGGGCGCTACAGATGAGCGGAATAATATTCATTAAGGCAAGGGCTGGAAAGGAACTGCTACACTAAAGAGCCACCCCCACCAAAATGAAAAGCCAGTTGCCAGTAACCGCCAGCCAACAGGCCACCCTTTGCTCCAGGGGAGGGCCCCTTGCCGGCCCTGAAAGAGTGTAGACTGCGATGCCACCGCCTCACCGGCCCAAACCAAGAGCAGAGACACCCCGCAGTTTTGGTTCGCATTTACATTTGTTACGATCTTCAGTAAGCACAGAGTGGTAGGAGTTTTAGGAGCTTGAAACACACAACTCTTGTGCCTTTACACAACTACTGTCACCGCAAAGTTAAAAAGTGGAGAAGAGGATGATTGAGAATTCTCTTCATGGAGATGCTTTATTTTGGTACAAAATTAGTAAAAATGGAAGTGAGGAGAACCTGGGTGGCTCAGTTGGTTAAGCATCTGACTCTTGATTTCAGCTCAGGTCATTATCTCATGCATGGCTCCTGAGTTCAAGCCCCATCTGAGGCTCTGTACTGGCGGCATGGAGCCTGCTTCTGCTCCATTCTCTCTCACCCTCTCTCTCTGCCCCTCCCCTACTTCTGCTGGCATGCTCTCTCTCAAATAACTAAACATTAAAAAAAAATTTTTTTTTTAATGGAAGTGATGTATTTCCACTGGAGAGGGTGTGGGGTGTGCCATTTGACAGTTGAACCGGTCTGCTGTTCCTTCTGCCTGATGTGCAGTCAGTGTTTGCTAGAAAACTGAGGGAGTACCTGCTCAGAGCATTTTTCCCACTGACGGAGGCTATAGAGGAGCATGGGTTTTAAAATCAGCAGCCACCAACCTCAATTCCTGGCTGTGCCTTGTACCAGTTGGGCGACCTTGGGCAAGTTGCTTAATCTCAGAGTGAATGTTTATCTGTAAAGGGAGGTTAATAATTTCTAAATGCTGGTTCATTGTGAGGATTGTAGATAATGCATGTAAAGATCAGAATGTGCTCAATAAACATAGGCAAAGCATGATCAGTATCATAGTTTTCCTACATTTTTATTTTCTCAGTGAAAATTTTGTGATTTTACACTCTTAGAACACGAGGAACAATTATGTGTTTCACAAGCCATATCGGGTTGCATACTTTTGACACTACTATCATGTTTCTGACAATTAGACTCTCTTGCTTTTTGCTTTGGGAAGTTGGGGGAATTTTGGCCTCTCCCACATCTTGTTTCACACTTGTCAATTAACAGATCCTGCTATGATGGAAATCAAATCAGAGTGTTGCCTTCAAAGTCTCAGCACATGCCAGAGGGTAACGGTAATGCTTCCTGACCCAGATCTCCAGTAGGTCTGTTTTAGTGTCATAGGTGTGTTTTCCGTGCTCTTCCAGCTTCGTCCCCCATTATTCCTGGGGCAGGGAGCTGGGCAAACACAAATGGAAGAGCAAGAGTGAGATTAAGAGGAAAAGGCAATAAAACTGCCAGCACACACTAATGTTAAAGTTGTCTCCTTGTCCACAAGCCAAAAACCTAACAAGCCACCGCTGAAACAGCTGATGAACCACAGGTTTGGGGGGGGGGGCGGTGACGGGGGGAAGACTACTTAGCCAATGAAATAAGGCAACATGATCCATCCTGCTCGGTTTTGTAAGTGCTGTCACCATAGCTACCACATGAAAGCTTCTAGTCCCTTCCTTGAGTCAAAATCTGGCACAGGTGCATCCCTGGGCCACATGCCTGGCCCCAGCAGCAGGGGAGGCTGGGAAAGTCAGTATCTAGCATTTTTAGCTACTGTAAGTGGAGATAATTATTGCCCCTTCATCAAGGCTCATAAGCTAGGAGATTCCCTGAATATAGGAAAGGGTTCAGATGCCAGGCAGACAAACCTAATAATAAATGTCCTATACCATACACAACAAAGAAAGACACCATCATCAGAGAAAAATAAGAGCATGTTGGGTGGGTGATAGTCTATAGGCTTATTACATCTCTGTCATTTTACACATTGAGTTAAAGATCCAAATGCCACGAGCTCCTTTGGTAGAGAGATGCTGGTTGCCTACTGAACATTTCCCCCTTCTCCCTTAGTATCAGAGCCCCTGTGTTTTTAGGGATAGTAATGTACCCAGCTGATAAACCACATATCCCAGCCTCCATTACAAGTAGGAGCGGTAGCTAACGAGCTGAAGCCATTGGTTGGGGCTTCTGGGGAAGCTCTGTAAAGGTGCTGTTTTGCTCTTCTCTCCTTGCCTCCTTTTTCCTTGCCCAGGACACAGAAGCAGTGGCTAGAGGTCCAGTCACCACTTTGTGTCAATGCAGCAATCCTAATGCTGGAAGCCACTTGCCAAGAATGGCAGAGAAGAAATACAGAAAGCCTCTTAGTATCTGATGACCTGTTGAACCAGCAAGCCTTGGACTACCTAACAACATTCTTCTTTTATGTGCTGGAAACATATATGTGTATATATATATATATATATATATATATATATATATAACCTTATTTAAGCCATTGTTACTTTGAGTCTCTGTTACTAGCAGCTGAAGGTAGGAAGGTGAGTCCTTAGGAATATCAGCTGTCTTCATCGGCTACACCAGTGCTTCTCTTCTAGTAGTCCAAGATGGTGTCATCCTCTGGTGCATAGGAAAATCCCAGGAATGCACTGGAGGCCCCAGAGCTGCTGGCCATCGTGTCAGGAGTGCAGCCAATGGACTTTGACACAACTTCCTGGGTGAACTCTGGGTCAAAGTGTTTCAAGTCAGCAGGTCCTGCCTGTGAACATAAACCAATGGTGAGATGAGAACACTAGGGTCAGAGCTGCCAAACTCAGGAGCCCTGAGAGTGATGCTGGGCCTCCCCTCTGAGTGCCTTGTGGACACCCATCTTTAGCTATCACTTACCCATGTGTTTCCATTAATCATTTTATTCCACATGGTCCGCTAACCACATACCAATTTTTCTAACCTCCTGGCACCTTGTCTGCTTCACACCAACCCTCAGACCAGTCTAGTCAACATACACTTAGCGATTGTCTATTAGTCACTGTTCATGGCATTGGGAATGCAGGGGAACAAAATAGAGTGCGCCCCTGCTCTCATGGAGCCTATATTATGCAAAGGGTAGGAGGATTGATAATAAGCATGTATACAGACAAACAGACAACCTGTGGTGTTGATAGGCCTTATAAAGAAGATAAAATAGGGTAATATGGTAGAGAGCAACTGGCTGCTTTCACTACTTTGGAGGAAGACCTGTGTGTGAGATTGTAAAAATGGCAACAAATCCTGCATTTGCCATCCAGAGGTGGAGTCTGTCTCTCCATACTTTTCATATGGGTTAGCCATGTGACTTGTTTGGACAATCTGTTACCAAATGTGGTTCAAGCAACGGCTTGGAAGACGCACATTGGGAATTCTCTCCTGCTGCGCTTGGAACCCAGGCCACCACATGAACAAGCCCCGGCCAGGCTTCTGGAGGATGAGAGGCCTCAGAAGCAGAATCCAGTCGCTCCAGCTGCTGGCCAACTGCCAGCCATTTGAGTGGGGCAACTTTAAAACCATTGACATGTGAGAGCACAGCAGAGACCAGCTGGCCTGGCTCAGGCCAAAAAAAACAAAAACAAAAACAAAAACGCGCCCAACCAGCCCCGAGAATTGGGGCAAAACACACAGTTGTTGTTTTAAGCCATCTAGTTTGGGGGTGGCTTGTTATGCAGCATGAGCTAACCGAATCAGCCTCTTTGTGACGAAGGCAGTCTGTGGAGAAGGCTAGGCCACCTGGATTTTCTGAAGTAAGCAGGTACACAGGTGGAAGGATCCACATTTGTGCTGAGTGTTCAAGCCTTAGGTTGTAGAACCAAATAGACCATGATTTGCAACTTCTCAAAAAGGCCACCAGGCACAGTGGTCTCAGCTCAGGGCTCAGAGTTCCAAGACCAGAGTGTAGATCCTGACCCTGGCTCTTGTTAACTGTGTGGTCCTAGAGAAGACAGACATGATCTGTTTTCTACAAATGATGGTGATGCTAAAGATACTTTTCCAAGGTCTCATGGTGGTGAGTAGGTGGCAGAACCAGGAATCCACACCCAGCATGTGTTACTTTAAAGTCCATTCATTGCATTCTGTTACCTCCCTGTCTAGTATGTTTTATATTGTTCTTTCTCCAGCGTGTGTGTTCAATATTATCCTCAGGGTTTTTTTTTTTTTTTTACATTCCCAGATAAAGAAATTTTTTCAGGTACCTGGACTGAGCGTATCCTATCTAACAACCGTTGTTGAGAATCTGGAGCTCAACGATACATTCGTGAGCAGGTAATTCACAAAAGACCGGGTGTCAATAGCGGGTTCACACTGGCAGTGTTGACATAACTACATGGATGGAAGGGGCTTGACACTATTGGACTCCGCAGGTGGCTGAGAGACCCTCCAATGTCAGCTTCAAATGCGGCTCCTTGCGTGCATACTACCACCGCTAATTAATATTCAAACACTAACCACATTCACTATAAATCAAAGAAATATAAATCAAAACAATATGAGATGTCATTTTTTACTTAACAAATTTGCGACGTTAAAAGCAATTCACAACTGCACATGATATAGAGAGTCAGACAACAATTCTCCAGTGGACGCTGCTGGCAGGAAGTCGATTCTACACCCCACCACACAGTTAAAGCAGTAGGAATCAAGAGCTTAAACAGTTATGAATCAAGAACCAAAGGGCTCCTGGCTGGCTCAGTTCGCGGAGTGTGTGGCTCTTGATCTTGGGGTTATAAGTTTGAGCCCCACATTGGGTGTAGAGATTACTTTAAAAAAAAAAAAAGGAGCCTAAAAATGTTCATATACTTTGACCTGGTAATTCCCCATCTGGAATCCATCTTAAGGGAAAAATCAGAACTCTGAGCAAAGATAGACACTTAAAAGGGTGCCTGGGTGGCTCACTTGTTAAGTATCTGACTTTGGCTCAGGTGATGATCAACAGTTCATGGGTTTGAGCCCAGTGTCGGGTTCTGTGCTGACAGCCGAGAGCCTGGAGCCTGCTTCAGATTCTGGGTTCTGTGTCTCCCTCTCTCTCTCTCAAAAATAAGTGAATATTTAAAAAATTTTTTTTAAAAGATACACACTTAAAGGTGTTCATCAGTATGTTATGATAAAGAAAGAATGGTAATAACATAAAGTTCAGCATTAGGAGCATGGTTGAATAGATTATGTTACTTACCAACATAGGGTTGATATATTATGTAGCCACTTAAAATGATACTTATAAAGTTTTATATGATTTGGGGAAATAATGAGATAGTTTTTAGCAGAAAAGAAAAGGGAAGGGCACAAAATATCTCTATGTATAAAGTATGACCTGTGTAAAAACACATAGAAAAAAGACAGGTTGGAACATGCCAGCAGTGGTTTCTCTTGGGCATTGAAACAATAAGCTTTTCCTCCCTGCTGCTTTAAAACACTTTTAAAAATGTTTACTTATTTCTGAGAGAGTCAGTGAGAGCCACTGAAGGTGCAGAGAGAGAGAGGGAGACACAGAATCCAAAACAGGCTCCAGATTCTGAGCCGTCAGCACACAGCCTGATACAGGGCTCAAACTCACAAACTGGGAGGTCATGACCTGGGCCAAAGTCAGACACTTAACTGACTGAGCCACCGAGGCACCCCACTCCCCTGCTGCTTTAAACTCTGTTTTATATATTTGCTACAATAAATATATGTTATTTTTATTATCAGAAGAAAAAAGTTAAACAGAAAAAGACATTTTTATAGGACTTGGTTCCATCTGGGTGTACTATGTGAGAGACAGCACTTTCTTTGTGAGGTTAAAAAAATGTTTTATTTATTTATTTTGAGAGTGGGGGAGGGGTGGGGGGGAGAGAGAATCCCAAGCAGGCTCCATGCTGTCGGCATGGAGCTCAACACAGGGCTCGATCTCACAACAGTGAGATCAAGACCTGAGCCAATATCAAGAATCAGATGCTTAACGGACTGAGCCACCAAGGCACCCTGAGATTTTATTTTATTTATTTATTTATTTTTTAAATGTTTTATTTATTTCTAGGAGAGAGAGAGACAGTGTGAGCAGGGGAGGGTCAGAGAGAGAGGGAGTCACAGACTGAAACAGGCTCCAGTCTCTGAGCTGGCAGTCAGCACAGAGCCCGACGCGGGGCTCGAACCCACGAACCGCGAGATCATGACCTAAGTGAAAGTCAGACGCTTAACCGACTAAGCCACCCAGGCGCCCCACTGAGATTTTATTTTTAAGTCTCTACACCCAACATGGGGCTTGAACCTACAACCCTGAGATCAAGAATCAGATGCTTAGTGGACTGAGCCAGCCAGGCGTCCCCAGAGAGTGCTTTAAACAGGGTAAAGGGCTCTGGAATGAGGATTATTGGTGTTGAAAGTGAAGGAAGGGCTGCATGGTTCATCACACAGAGCTGGACTGGCAGTCGGGACTTCTGGGTTCTAGAGCCAGTTCTGCCTCTAATTTACCGTGTGGACTGTGGACATATCATTGAGCCTCTAGGGCCCTTGGTTTTCCCACCTGTAGAAAGAGACTTGGCCCAGATACCCTCCAAGCTCCCACAAGCCCTGGGAATCCAGAATCTGGAACATGGTGACCTCTTACCACATTTGGGTTGAAGGGTGGAGTCAGCCTCTTGTGGTACAGGTCATCCCAGTTTATGGGGCTGAAGAATACATGGTTCTTTATCTCAAGCTGCAGGAAGAAGGTGCTGATCAGTATTCCCCATAGCAGAGTCTCCACCTGCCACCCCCATGTCTCAGATCTCCACCTCTACCGGGAACTGGCTGTCAAGCCCTAAAACCTTTACTGGGAAAGTAACCTGCACGTCTGGCTGGTTTCCTGGGACAAAGGGGTGTTTTGTAGCCAGGCCTCTTCCCTTCGCCACCATCTAGAATCCAAACCCTTACCCCACCCCTGAGCATTCATTTATTCTTAACTGTTTACTGAGCGCCTACTCTGTGCCAGCACCATGGTACACTTCGGAGGTGTGTCCACGAACAAGATAGCAGGGCCTGCCCTTGGGGTTCCAGGGGATCTTGCACCCCCACCCACCTGCCTTAGCTCATCTTGATTCTTCTAGAACACAAGCCAAAGAAAAAGACAACATGAATTCAGTAAGGAAGGTTAGGGAAGTAAAGCCCCAAGAAAAGCTGCAGTTTCCTGGAGACCCAGAATTTAGGACTCAGCCTTGGACATGATTCACTACTTCTTCCCTAATCTAAGCCAACGTCAGCATCAAGTGCCTCCTATGCCAGCAGGACCCTCTCTCGATCTGCATTTTGCAAGGAATGATCTTCCAGGTCCGTACATCACACCCTCCCCACCCTGTGGACTTGTTAAAAAGTCAGATCCATGATATATGGAGTCCCAAGAAACAGATGGCACTGGTTGCCTTTAAATTAAGGAACTGGGTCACTAGAGGGACTTTCTGGATATCTTTTGAATTTTGATCTATGTGAATGTATGCCTTATTTGAAAAATCATACATATTTTTTAAGATGCAAATTTCCACCTGGAAAAAGGAGACCAGTCTTCATGAAAGTCCCCTTCTTTAAGTTGGCCAGGGATGGCAAATGCCCTAAATACTGTTACACTCACAGGATCTGGCTTGTGGGGCTGTGGGTACAAATGCTTAAAAAGCACTTACTCTGTGCCAGGCATGACCTAAGTGCTTTGTATATATTTAATGTATGTGATCTTTGTAGCAGGTAGGAGCTAGGTGCTATATTGCTGATGGGGAAACTGAGGCTTAAAAAGAGAAGTTTGTCCAAAGTTCTGCAATTTGCACAAGGCTCTGCAACTAGTAAGGACTAGAAAAGTGGAGGAGGGATGTGAACCCAGGTAGTCTGTGTCATAGTCCGTGCATGGCAACCACTCTGCCAGAAAGAGAAAGCAAACTTCCAGGGAGAAAAACATTGTGATCTTCCTTTTACAAATTCAAATAGTCTTTGGTTGACTCGAAAATGTAAGATTATTCTTCAAGTGTTACTTTAATGACAAAAAGAATCACGAACTCATTGCAGGGATGGACAGTAAATTATTCATCTCTATATCCTGAATGCCCCACCTGGCACTGGCAAAAAACAAGTCCAGTTCTCTCTCTGCACAGAACTCAGAGGAATTTCTTAAAACTGAAATTGGGTCTTGCCACACCTCTGCTCAAAATCCTCTAAAGTGTACTATGCTCCTTGCTCCTGTCACGGGACCTTTGCACATGCTGTGCCCGGTGTCTGGGATGCCTCCTCTCAGCTCTCTGCATGAGTGGTTCCTCTCATCCTTCAAGTCTCAACTTAATTGTTACTTCGTCAAAGCAGAACTGCCTCACTATGCCAGTGTGAATTCACTCCCTCTCATTATTGTTTATCTTGGTTCATTTATTTCCTGGCACTTGTCACACTCCACAATAATTATATACCATAATGTTTGTTGTCTGCCCTCCCCCAGTCAATTTAATAAAGCCAGGGACCCAACCCATTGAATCCCTAACACCTAGCTTGACATCTGGCACATAGTAGGTGCTCAGTAAATATTGGTTGAATAGAAGAACCAGGCTAAAGGAAATAATTAAGCAGCAGCAGCAGCAGCTGTCAATTTCCAAAGGAAGGAGTTAGCAGTGCCTGGCTTTAGAGGGCAGCTGGATGCACATCACTGTGCTTCTGAGCCGCTTCTGCAGGATGCTGAGTGCCCCTGTCGGGGGCCAGTGGTCCACTGGCCCTTCACCTACAAAGTCAGATTTGGAGCCCAGCCGCTGCCTCTGGTCCTTGTGGAGAAGGCCTTGCAGGAGGTCACAGGCGGCCACCGTCCGGCCCCCAGGGATCTGTAGCGGCTGGTGCAGAATATTCTCATACATCTGGGCCATGTCTTGGCTGTAGAAGGGTGGCTGGCGAGAGAGAGAGAGAGAGAGAGAGAGAGAGAGAGAGAGAAGCTGGAGGCTCATCCACGCCAAATGGGAGGGAGGTCTCAGGGAGTGTTGGAGCAACGGCAGGTAATGGGAAGATTTAGCCAGAACATGTGTTGTGCAATGGCTCACGTGGCAGACTGGGGAGAGACAGAGACCTCTGGGCTGCGGAAGGCTGAGAGGGTCCTCCCAGGAGCATCCCCCATCCCACCTCTCTTAGCCCAGCTTGCGCACCAACTCTGCACTTTGCAGAGTGAACACTTTCCCCCGTGTCATTCCAGCCCACCCTCACGGCCGTCTTTGAAGACAGGTAGTAATTTGTTGGATGAGAACACAAGGCTCAGAGAGATTAAGCCACATGGCCAGGAAAAGAGCCAGGCCCCCAGATGTGCCCAGAGCCCATTCTTTCCTGATGTTCTTCGTCCCCACCTCCTCCACGGGCTCTTCTTTCTCCTGACTCCACACAGCCTGGTCTTTCACATCCCCCACACTCTGCTGGCAAAGCCGCCCCAGAGCAGTGCCTGTGCTGTGGTGAGTCTACACAAGCCTCCAACTCAGCAGGCAGCCTAGGATGGGGCTGCCAGCCTTGGGGCCTTTCTGGGCCTCAGTTTCTCTCTCAGTAAATAAGAACAATTCCCTTTCCTATAGTGGCATCTCCAAAGGCTGTTTCAAGGTGCCAAGGGGTGTGTGTGTGTGTGTGTGTGTGTGTGTGTGTGTGTGTGTATGTGTGTGTGTGTTGTAAATACTGATTTGGTGGGTTGTGAAGCACTGAACTAACATTATGGGAAAAATATATATAATCCTCACATCCTTTTACTTAGCTTGGAGGAGAGAGATAGCTCTTTCAGTTCCTTGAGGAGCCTGAATGGCCACACAAGGGAGAGATCCACCCCCATCTCTTCCCGAGCCACATGTCCCTTGCAGATGTTGACACCCCACTCACCAGGCCGTGCAGCATCTCATAGAGAACTGCCCCCAAGCACCACCAGTCCACCGCCCGATCATAAGGCTCTTTACGAATCACTTCCGGAGCCAAATACTATGGAGAAGAAACATACTTATCTGAAAGACACTCTGCCTCAGTCTCCCCATTTGTTTTATTTTTATTTTGAAAGCTAAACAATTTTTTTTAATGTTTATATATGTTTGAGAGAGACACACAGAGAGAGACAGAGAGACAGAGACAGAGGACAGAGCACAAGCAGGGAAGGGACAGAGAGAGAGGGAGACACAGAATCCAAAGCAGGCTCCAGGCTCCGAGCTGTCAGCACAGAGCCCGACGTGGAGCTTGAACTCATGAAACATGAGATCATGACCTGAGCCAAAGTAGGACACTTAAGCCACTGAGCCGCTCAGGTTCCACTCAGACTCCCCATTTGTAAACAAGGTACTTGGAAGAAAAGATCACTGAGGGTTGATCCTGCTGTGATATTCACTTGGCTGTGTGCATATGTTCATTCAGCATCTACTCATCAAAGGCGTACTCTGTGCATGACCCTTTGCCTACGTGCTGAGGACTTAGGGGAGATCAGGCAGGAATGCCTCGTACAGTTGTATGTGTTGTGCACCATATAAAAGTACCAGGCAAAAGGGGACAGGGGGATGCAAGCCTGGCTGTGATCAACTCACCAAGCTGTAACCCTAGTACAGGGCTATATCTGGCAACTTTATTAGTGTTTAATGGGATAACTTTTCTAAAGAATCTGCCCGAGGGGGTGCTTTTATCTAATTTGCACAAAAACATCCAATCAGTGTCCTGGGAATAGGAAAGCCCTGTGAGTACTCACAGTACATTGGGGAGACTAACGGCCGTGTTAGTAAACATGGCACGTACTTGCACTGGAAACCTTACTCACAGAGAGATGGACAGGAATCAGGAAAGAAAAAGTGACACTTGAGTTCATATTGACAGATGAATGTATGTCACGGAGCTGCGCCTTCCAATAAGAAGAGGACCTGAGGCAGAACAGTGCTTTCTGCCAAACCCAAGGGCTTGGTGACCTCTTGGCCTGGCATCTCTGCCATAAGGAAAGGGACAGCAACAGACAAAGCCACTTTGAGAGACTGTGTGAGTCTGGGAAGGGCAGGAAGTTACACAGACCTGAGCCCTACATAGGGTTCATTTAACCTCCTAGAACCTTGATTTCCTCCTCCATAAAATGGGGTTGCAGGATCTCTCCCTGGGGGCTCTTTTAAGGTTATGTGCTAATCTGTGTGTAATATGTATATGTATATGTGCGGGCCTTAAACAATGGGAGCAACTATCATTACTCTCGTCTATGCTTTCTGGCATCACAGCGGGGGCTGAGTTATGGAAGAGATAACGTGTTGGGGCCACATGTCTCCTACGCAAGCCAGGGTGTCCTAGGCCCTGCTCCTTGCCTCCGACAACATCCAAGGAAGGGATGGCTGGGCTGGCAGGCTTTGGGACACCAGCTCTGTCCAGAAGACAGCCCGCCATACACAGAGGCAGACGACGAATCCTACTAGGAGTCCTCACTTGTCCGTCAGCTGCCCCCCAAACCAATTGCAGGAGGCCCAGCTGAGATCTGAGATCCAGTTTCCAGCATATGGAGAACAAAAGAGCTGCTGAAGTCCTGTCCTCTGCTGATCGGGAGGAGTTTCCGCCCTGCAGCCTGTGCCTTCCAGCCCCCACCCGGACTTCTGTCCACCAGGAACTCCTGGGGGTGCCAGGTCCAAGAGGGGAAGTTCAAGGAAAGGCTTTAACCCCAAGGCTATAGGGGTCCTTAGTAGGACAGATAGACAGGTATGAGCTACTGCTGAGACCCACAGATTTGAGCCCTCCAGGTTCTCAGTGGCTGGCAGAGGAGATGGACCATTGTTCTACACTAGCAAGTCCTGGTCTTAACTGTCAGGCCAAGCCCTCCTGCTCCACAGGGCCTTCCCCCTGTGGGGCAGTTCTGTCCCATACAGCAGCCACTTACTACATGTGTCTCTCGAACACTTAAAGTGAGGCTGATTTTAGCTGAAATGGACCGTGAGTATAAAATATGCTCTGAATTTCAAAGACTTAGAAAAAAAAAAAAGATAAACTATCTCAACAATTTTGTATCACAATATTTTGCATATATTGGGCTAATGAAAATGTACTACTAAAATGCATTCCACCTGTTTCTTTTTTGTTTTTATTTTAAAAAAAATGTTTATTTGTTTTGAGAGGGGAGGTATGTGAGAGCATGCACAAGTGGGGAAGAGGCAGAGAGAGAGGGAGAGAGAGAATCCCAAGTAGGCTCCGTGCTGTCAGCGCAGAGCCCAGTGCAGCACTCAATTCCGTGAACCGTGAGATCATGACCTGAACTGAGATCAAGAGTTGGATGCTTAACTGACTGAGTCACCCAGCTGCCTTTCTTTTCACTTTTTAAATGTGGTTCCTGGAAAACTTTACATTGAGAATGTGCTTTGCACGGCTGTTTCTATTTCTGTAGGTCTGCACTGCTACAGAGCTTCACCAGCCACTGGCCGGGGCCCAGCAGCCCCCTGAGCGGATGCCCCCATTACACAGACGCGGAAACCAAGGCAGAGTGTCCAGCCAGCTCAGGGCAAGGGCTTGGGTGAAAGGAGTGAGCATCACCCCCTCAGGGTAACCTGTTGGTTCTAAGGAGGAGTTGAGGCTCAACCACTCATCGCTTGACCTCTGACCTCTCCTACAAGGTTTGGCTTACCTCGGGGGTGCCACAGAATGTGGATGTGGTCTCCTCGGGCTCTACACCCTCCTTGCAGAGGCCAAAATCCGTCAGCACCACGTGTCCCTGCAGGGGAGGGTGGGCAGGGGCAGGAGAGTGGTCTAAGCTAATGGTACAGTCAGGCCTAACCCCAGAGCCCAGGTGCCACACCCCAGGCCAGCAGCTGTGGGGACTTAAGCCTCTGGCACCAGCTATAGGCTCCCCTTAGAGACCCATAGCTTCTGGACTGGGCATCAGGAGCAGTGCATGGGGCAAGGTGGGGGACAGCATTCCACTGTATGCTCCCAGCTTATCACAGACTCAGCCATGCTCTACAACAGTGGCAGCCCCATGAATGTCCCTGCTGGGGGCCTGGTGGTGGCAGCTGTCATGACAGAGGGCTGGAGGCTCAGAAAGCACCTGGGCAGCTGGGCAGGAGAGTGGCTGGTGGAGGTCCTGGAGAGAGTGGCTAGTGTGGGGCTCTGCTCAGATCCCTCTTTAGAGGCTGTCATACCCATCCCCCTCCTTTGGTGGGACATTGTCTTCTCCCAAAGTTATACCCCTCCCAAGGGGCAATCCACACCCAATGATGGGGTCGATCCAGAGGCACAAAACCCCAGCCTTCTCGCCTTAATTTGGAACAGTTCTAAAGAGTCATCCCAGCTCGGGCCCTTCCCACCCCTGTAAGATCAGCTGAGGCCTCCTCATTTGCAACCACAATGCAGGTGGGCTTCTCCCTCTATCCAATCCTGCCTCCTCACCCCCTTAAAAGTGGATCTTTTAAGAGAATTTCCCAGGAACCATTTGCATTCAACATTCCATCTGTTTCCAGGGAACCCAGTCTAGGACATGGAGAGACTACAAAATCCAAGAGTCTCCACCTGGCTCCACCCCTGCCCACACCTCGACCTCGTATACACAGACATGCACATACACAGACCTCGTATACACAGACATACACATATCTTAATGCATCCCTACCCATACTGTATATGCGTGCACGCACACTCATAAGCACACAGCACACATGTGCACCTGTGCACAGACACATGGACCAACCTGGCAGTCCAAGAGAATGTTCTCTGGTTTCAGGTCCCTACAGAAAACAAGAGGAAAGAACACTGTGATGTCTCAGCCACACAGTGAGGAGAGATGGGACCCCAGAGTCCTGGTGGGAGAACTATTCATGGAGGCTCACACACATGTAGAGAGGGAGCCCAAGGAGAAGGGCACTTGATCCTAGAAAGGAGGATCCCACCCTACTCCCACCTCTGGGCCGTCCTCCTCAGACAGAGAACCAAGTTCACTGGGGTTTCATCAGCACCTAGGGGTCCACACAACCCCTGGCATTTGCAGCAGATGGCCCAGGCCTGGCTCTAAGCCACAGGCAGGCCTCACCTGTAAATGATGTTGAGGGAGTGCAGGTAGCCAATGGCGCTGGCCACCTCGGCGGCGTAGAACCGGGCCCGGGGCTCCAGGAACCGGCGTTCCCGCTGCAGGTGGAAGAAGAGCTGGAGGAGGAGGAGGTGTATGAGAGGGTGTCTGGGTGGGTGGGGGGCTCCAGCTCCTAGAGTACAGGGGGCGGGAAGCTGGCCAAGACACCCCCTCGCTGAGCTGCAATGTACTCAGATGAAAAAAGGCATGCTGGCCCCCACCCCACAGCATAGTTGTGTCCAAAGGGTCAGCAGGAGAAATTAATTCACATGGAGTGACAGGTACTGGGTTCCAGGCTCCAAGCCAGACCTCTCCACATCTCTTATCTCATTTAATCCTCATGACTACCTTCCAGGTATCAAATATGATGCCAGTTTCACCTGAGAGAGAACTGAGAGAGGCCAGGTTCATGTAGCTCATAACTGACAAAGCTGCCATTTGAACCCAGGTCATTCAAAGATGTGTTTTTCTTCCCACCTGGGCAATAAGATTGTTACAGCTGTCAAACTGAGCCCAGCCTAGATCTATCCGTGGGCCAATTGCTTTGGTCTACTTTGCTGGCCTGGAAAGGCCTTACCTGCATCAGGAGACTTAGGGATGCAAAGTAAAAACTCCCCTCTTGGGTATCAGGCCAAAAGTCATGAGGTCACACAGACAAAATCTGGGGTCACTTGCCCAGAGAGACAGAGTGGAGTCTGAGATGGAGCCCAGTTTATCCCAGCCATGCTTCTGGGTCACCAGGTGGCCTCAGGTCTCAGTTTACCACAGGGACCACCCCCACCCAGTGGCCTGTGGTATAAAATGGGGACATTGGAAATCTTAACCACAGAGCTCCCCTAACACTGACATTGCCCAGGTGCAAGAGTGTCTGGGCAGCTCCGTGTGGGGCAGTCAAGAAATTCTCATGGCTGGGAGCCAGGCTGATTTGCATTCAAATCCTGGCTCTGCCATATACAGTAGGCTGGGTGGCCGGGAGCAAGTGAGTTACCTCCCAAGCCTCGGTTTCGTCAGCTACAAAATGGGTCTGTTGTAAGGATGACGTGAGATCATTCCAGAACCTGATACACAACGGGCATATAAGAGCCAGCCTTGGGGAGCCTCCCTGTGGGCCCACCCACCTCTCCCCCGTTGACATAGTCGAGCACAAAGTAGAGCTTCTCAGGCGTCTGGAAGGAGTAGCGCAGGCCCACAAGGAAGGGGTGCTGCACGCTCTTCAGAAGCACGTTGCGTTCTGCCATGATGTGGTTCTGCTGTAGGGTTACAGACAGGGGCCCATGTCACAACCCAGCACAACCCCTGCAACTCTGGCACAGCTCACATGGCCTCCCTGGTGCGGGCTGCCAGGCCCAAGGCCTTCTCATGCCCCTGCTCAAGTGGCTGGTGTGGCTCCTTATTGCCCTCATAGCCAGGATCCTCGCCTACTAGCCAGGATTCTAAACAGGTTGGCCTCATTCCCGGCCACAGCACATAGGCACAGCTCCAGCCCCTATGGGTGGGAAACCCCTGCTGCCCTCCTCTGGGGTGACAAGGAAAGCGTATATGATTACTATGTTAATGCTTTTGTTCATGCTGTTTTCTTGGCCTGGGTGTCCTCTTTTCAGACCATTGGGATTCTACATTCAAGGCCAGCTGCCAGTCACCTCCTTCACAAAGACCTCCCCCATCTGCCCTCTTGATGTCCTTGTTAACATTAATTCCCTCGCCCAAGTCCTCTGATTGATATTCACGCCTCTCTCAGGGCCTGCTCTATCCCCCTCATGGGGTTGGCATTAAAGAGACTCACGTCAGCTGAAGCATCTAGAATTCCGGGGTGGCTGTGGCTTTGAGGGGCCTTTGGAGAGTATCAAGTGTGCCCCCAACACTGCACAGACAGGGAGACTGGCACCTAGACAGGGCAGAGGACTTGTCTGCCAGGGAGCCCCGGATTCCCCAGGCGAAGGCAGCAGGCTGGGACCTTCGTCCTGAAGGTCCTATGGGTGAGTTGATTGGCTTGCCCTCCTTGAGAAACATCATCACCCTCAGCACCGCCTGGCTGCCCCCTGCTATGACCACCACTGGACCTGGCTCCATGCATCCTCCAGAGTTGCGACCCAAGAGCTTGGGAAACCACCTTAGCCTGGAGTCGAGAAGCAGGAGGGGAAATGCCCGTGTGCAAACTCTGGTACCTCTTTTTTCTGTAGGATGGACTTTTTCTGCAGCACCTTCACGGCGTAGAACATCCCATCAGACTTGCGCTTAGCCAGGAGCACCTGAGCAGAAACACAAACGCAAGGCCCCACAGGGGACCTACTCCTCTGAACTTCTGATTTCTCGAGAGCCCCCAGCTCTGGCCCCGTGTCCATGATTTGGCAGGCCGTGAGCTCCTGTTTTGCACATGCAAGTGACAGGCAGAGGGTGGAGGAGGCCAGGGAAGGGAAGACCCAGGCCTCCCAGCCTCCCTGTGTCACTCACCTTGCCATAGCTCCCTTTGCCAATGACCTTTAGGAAGTCAAAGTCAGTGGGCCGGGCACTGGGGGAGGGGGGAGGGAGAAAGAACACAGGTCAGCATTTGTGAATTTGGGGAACCTGGCTCCTGAGATCATATCCAGGCTTCTTTTTAACTTTGAAGATGGGGATTAGAGGGAGCTTTCCAAAAGCCAAGCCTCCTCACCACTGAAGCATGCCATGACCTCTCAGCCAAGAGAGCTTCAAGGACAGGTGCCTGCCCCTGGGGACCCACAGTTAAGCAACCAACAGGCAAGTTGGGGAGAAAACCAGACACAACTGCATAGAAGACAAGGGATCTGGCCCCCAAAGCCTGAGAAGGGCCTGAAGGGTGGGGAGCTGCAGACTTTGGGGTACATTTCAGGCATAGGGCCCAGCAGGGGCAAAGGCTAGGGAAGTAGTGGGAGATAAAGCAGGGGGACAGTCCTGGGTCCCAGTTGGCAGAGGGTCTTGGCAATAGACCAGAGAACTTGGATTTTATTCTCAAGGAGAAGGGAGCCAAGCACGAGGGGAGCCAAGGAGGAAGAAAGTTGCTCGAGACCAGAACTTACTTTGGGTTGGCTGAAGGCCCCAGGTTGACGTTCCCATTGGCCCTTGAGGGCTAAAGACATTTACAGAAAAGTTATTAAGATCATCAGGGACTGGTCGGATCCTCAGGGCCTTCTGTTCCTCTGGCCTAGGCCCTGTTCCCTTCTCTACTAGCCTGCTGGCTTCCTCCTTCCTTCTTTCCACACATCTACCAACCCACCCAACCATCCACCATCTCAGCTGCTCCTCCTAACAGCTTTGGGAGGCTGCTGACTATTGTGTCAATTATGAGGGTGAGGAAACTGACGCCCCGAGAAAAGCCATCCAAGGACTTACAGGCAGCTCCACTGGCACGAGAACCAGGGGTCCTCAGGGACAATCCCAGAGTTTCTCCACGCCATTTTCTTCTTGAAGCTCTTGTCCAACTCTGTGCCCTATCTGCCCTGCAAAGAGCCCACTTCCACGAGCTCACAGTGACCCCTGTCAGCCCCCCCCCCCCCCCAGTCCTGCTGTGTTGGCCCACCAGGCTGGCCTGTGCATCCACTGACTTCCCCCAGTGTGGGAGGAAGTGAGCCCCCTGGTGGTGGGTGGGGGAACCAAGACCCACTCACCTGAGGACTGGGGCTAGACTCCATTCTGTCACAGTGATCAGGTGGGCTCTGGGGGCAAGAGGGGGACCAGGCATGAGTGAGCTGTTGTTGGGGAAGGAGCACGACCTGTCTAGAGCTTTAGGCACTGCTGCACTGTCCACCCCTCCCTGGCCCTGTGCACCTACCATAGTCTCAGCATCTTCTACCCAAGGCCAGTGACCCCTGCATGGGACAAGCACTGAGGTGCCCTGGACCCAGCTCTTCTAACCAAGCATCTCAAGAGAGAGCCAGGGAGAATGGCCAGGGGTATCCCTCCAAGGCTGAATCTTTTCAAGGGTTGGGGACAGCCAGGACAGCAAGATCTCTGTGAGCCAAGGCAGATCCAGAAGTCTAGGATGGCCAGGCTGGAAGGTCAAGAGCATAAAGTCCTGACCCTCGTCCCCCTCTCACAGGTGGAGAACCTGAGGCCTCGGAAGGGGTTCTCCTGGGGTTACACAGTTTGTGAGGGGCAGGCTGGGCTCCCCAGACTCCCAGACAGGCATGTTGTGACCCCAAATTCCTGTGGACACCCTGGGCTGGGGTCTGTATTATATTGACTATTATCTCTCTGCCACAAAACTTTTGCCTAATGTCTCTGGAATGGCAGCTGCCCTGGGGGCTTTGGACCGGAGCCATGAAAAGACCCAAGCCTGGCTAGTATTTCTTTGAGATCAAATAGTGAAGAGTGTGATCAGCTGGTCTATGTGGCTAGGAGCACAGTGTTTCCCTGCCCCCTCACCTGCAGGGTGAAGGAGGCTGGTGTGTCCAGGCCCTGGCTCAGGATGCCCCCACGCCCCACAGACTCACCCCTGTTTGAAAGGCCAAGGCCAAGATCCCAGTTGCTCATGGAGACTGCCCAGGCCTATACATCCCAAGACCCCAGCCTTGACCCGCTGTGGGGCCTGGGCTGCAGCCTAGCCTCTATAGGTAGAAACCACCCATTTTTACAAGACAGGATATGACAGCAACCACCCCATGGCCTTCTTGGGAGCTGACAAAGTGACTACAGGGGAAAGGAGAGAGTCCCCCAGCCCAGGCTGCTCCAAGAGGCCCTTCCCTGTGGGGGTCTCAGAGAATAAGCTGCAGAATTGCCTGAAAAGGAGATGTAGCCTGGCTCCAGCCAGTGCCCCAGGGTCCAGGCTCCCCCAGGGTGCCCACCACACTGCCACACCCTCTCCTGGGCTGACACTGTAGGCCCCTTTGCCAGGCCCTGGCCTCTGCAGCCCCACGTACCTGCACAGCCTGAGGAGAGGCCCCCGAGAGAACCAGCAGTTGGAGCTGGAGGACAGGCAGGAGACAAGTGAGCCTCTCTCTGTTCTCCCAACAAGGGCCCAAGTGTCTGTGCCTGGCGCCGGCCCGGCCCCAGAGCCCAGCTCAGAGCTCCCGGAGGCAGCAGAGGGCTGTTGATGTCACATGGGACTGAGCAGCGCCTAAGATGGGACCAGAGACCTCTGTTCCCTCCGGGACATCGCCTCCCCCTGGAGGGTGGGTGGAAGGGGGTGGGCAGCAGCTGCAGGAATGCCCTGCTGACGCATGGGGCTTTTCAGAATGTGTGGGAGTGTGTGGGTCAGGCTGTGTGTGTGGTGTGCGTGAGTGTGTGTACAGGCGTGAGTGCCTTGATGTGCTTTAGTGCGTCTGTCTGGTGTATCCGTGTGTCCCTGCACGTGAGGGCTGCTGTGTAGTGTACATGAGTCTATGTATAGACAACTGCATGTGTTCGACTTCTTACTGAGCATTAACATGACTGTGTATTTAATCTTGTCAGCGTGTCTGTGTGTCTGTAACTGTGTTCTCACTGTGCGTGTGTATCAATGGGCTTCTGTACAGTGAGTCAACGTGTTGGTGTGTATCTTTATATATGTTGATGTATTTTATGTATGTATGTGAGTGTGAGTCTGTGTTTGTGTCTGCAGGTGAGTATGGGTGTCTGTTAATGCATGTGTGTGACCACATGTGTAATCACATGTGTATATATAGGTTGGTGTGTGTTCATATTGGTGTATATCAGTGAGTGTGTGTGTGTGGCCTGTCTGTAAGAAGACACTCTCCCTGGGGCCTACTCAGGCCTGGTGCAGACAGACGGTCCTAAGGTAGGACCCGAGCCATGGTAGCTGACAGCTCTTTACCTCCCAAGAATCTACAGACGTTTCAGAGCACAGGTATCTGGCTCCGTTCAGCAGGCCTTGGTCTTTGACTGCTGACCACCTGGATATTTGGGCCCTTCCTTGCTAACTGCTGCAGGACTCTGGCCCACTATCTCCAGAGCAGGACAGGTCAGCCCACAGCCCTCCAGCTGTGTGGGCAGCAGGTAGCAGGGTCCTGAAGGCCTGGCTGCATGGTGCAGTCGTTAGGTACTCATGGGGTCCCTTCCTCTCCCCAGGAGCTCATGAGGGTTGTTCTGAGGAATGAAAAAGTGGACAGGGCCTGACGCAGCCCCTGCCTTTCTAGAACTTTCTCTGTGACTACCCTATGCCACACGTAAGCCTCTGCGATTCACCACAGTAGGGGAATCCATGGGGCTGGGGCTAAGAAGGTTGGATAGGAAGGGACCTGAGCCCAGGGACCTCAGGGGTTCTCTCTGGGCTTTGAGGAGCATGGGACCTGGGGGTAGCAGCAAAGAAAACCCAAGTGAACAATATCAGAGCCTTCCATCTTTCAACAAAACAGAAATGTTGAACCAATACACAGATGGGCAGGATGTCATGTTGACAAAACACGTACCCAGAACAAGGACATTTCTTCTCAGTAACAAGACCCTGACGGGGCCTTTATTCAGCAGCACTGTTTAGAACAGGGGAATAGTGACCATAATCATAACTGAAATGCCCCACTCAGCACTTGAGAACACCCGCCGGCCGTACAGCTCCCTCTCTTGACCTTATATCACTCTCCAGATATGGTTCTGCTTCTCTGTTCTCCTTTTCAGTTAAATTCCTCGAAAGAGTTGTCTGGACTCAGTTTCCACTCCTTCTCCTTTTCTCTCTCTTTCTCTTTTTTTTAAATGTTTTATTTCTGAGAGAAAGAGACACAGCGTGAGCAGGGGGAGGGTCAGAGAGAGAGAGGGAAACACAGAATCTGAAACAGGCTCCAGGCTCTGAGCTGTCAGCACAGAGCCCGACGCGGGGCTCGAACCCAAGAACCCTGAGATCATGACCCGAGCTGAAGTCGGACGCCCAACTGACTGAGCCACCCAGGCGCCCCTCTCCTTTTCTCTCTTGAACCCATTCCAAAGAGGCTTTAATCCCAGCACTCTACCAAAGCAGTGGGCCCGTGACCCCCACGTTCTAGAACCAGTGATGGCACACTCGTCTTCCCACTTGGCTTTGGGAGCTCCTGGGGTTCCTTCCACCTCACCAGCTGCTCTTTCTCCATCTCTTCTGCTGGATTTGCCTCCTCTTTGGCCACTGGCCTGTCCCAGGGTTCAGTCCTCAGACCTATATCTATACTTGTTTCCGAGTCAGTCACAGCCAGTTTCATGGCTTTAAGTACCAGCTATACACTTGACAGTTCCCAAACCTGACTCTCTCCTGCACTAAATCTGGGTTTATATGTCTAACTGCTCACTAGTTGGGTCCCTGGAGGCACCTCACTCATAACATATACAAAACAGGAGTCCCGACTCACATTCCTTCCACTTGGCCCCAGCCTCCTCCTCCCTCAGTCTTCCATCTACCACCTGCTCAAAAGTTGAGGCTGGCAACTTGGAGTTCAATCTAGAAATATGGTGCCCTCACCCACCTCCAGTCCACCATGAATCCCCGTGAGACTCTACCTTCAAATTAAATCCAGAAAGCACTGCTACTCGCCAGTTCTGCCGCAACCTCCCTGCCTGAGCCACAGTCACCACTTGCGTGGACTATTGCAATAGCTTCCCTACTGTCTCCTGACGTTTATCTCTGCCCTCTACAATCTTTCTCCACCCAACACCAGACTGCCACTTAAAAAAAAAAATCTAAGTGGATCACATGGGCTGGCTGCTCGAAAACTCTGGCTGCTTCCTGTCACACCTAGGATTAAAATCCAAAGTCTACCATGGTCTGCAAGATTCCCTGAGACCTAGCTCTTCTCACGCTCTCCACCTTGGTTCCCATGCTCTCCCTCTCACTATGCTCCAGCCTCTCTGGCTCTCTTGCTGTCACTCAAACACACAGATGCCCTCTGGCCTCCTGCCCCTGGCGTCTTCTTTCCACTCCGTCTAGAATGCTTTCTCCCCAGACGTCTGCATGGCTAGGCTTCCACTAACATCCCAGAGGTCTCTGCTCAAATGTCACCTCTCAGAGAGGCCTTTTCTGATTATGAGTGATAGATTATCCTGGTTTGTCTGGAACTCAGGATTTCCTGAGGTGTGAGACTCTCAGTGCTAAAGTCAGTACAGTCCTGGGGCAAACCGGGATGGCTGGTCACTGTACACTCCTATTTCCACCCACTCCCAGTCCACTTTTTCTGCTTTGTGTTTTATTTTATAACACGCACCATGCTGACACCTTATTACCAACTCTTTATGTTTTGTCTTAAACTTAAGCTTGCTCCATGAGGACAAAGACATTTCTTGCTCACTGTTGAATCCCCAGAACCCAGATAAGGACCTGCAATATGATCGGTGCTCAGTACATATTTGACTAATGAATCAGGAATGAGCTGATAAGATGGATTATAACACATATGTAAGGTGGAAAAATTACCCAATTGAAAAACAATAGATAAGGCTTTGTAAATCAAAACGGGAATATGTGTGTGATATAATGTCAAGCTTAAAAGGACTTCTCAAAATAGTAGGTGTACCAGGGAAACTATCTTTATAAGAAAATAATGACATGTGGGGCTCCTGGGTGGCTCAGTGGGTTGAGTGTCCAATTTCGGCTCAGGTCATGATCTTGTGGTTCGTGGGTTCAAGCCCTGCATCGGGCTCTGTGCTGACAGCTCAAAGCCTGGAGCCTGCTTCGGATTCTGTCTCCCTCTCCCTCTTCCCCTCCCCTACTTGTGCTCTGTCTTTCTCTCTCTCTTTCAAGAATAAATAAACATTTAAAAAAGAAAAAAAAGAAAAAAAAAGAAAAGAAAGACATGCACGCACAGATACATTTGTGCATAGCCACCAAAAAAAGGCTAGAGGGTTGTGACCCAAGGTGACAGTGGATTCGGCTAATTTTTATATGCATATCTTTGTGTAAAATGTCTCAAGGTGTTGCCATTCACTTAATATTCCAGCATTGAGGCCTGGGGAGAACTCTGACACGTGCACTACCCACCACCCTCCCATCGCCTTGACCTGGACTCACACCTGCGCAGCTCTCAGCCTATGGCTGCTTTCTCTCCTGCATTATTGTCTTCTGATTTTCTGGCCAGAGGCTGGGCATCGATACCTTCTCTTGACTGTTCAGACCTATAGGGGCCCCTGGGAACTCCCAGGGTGTGGCCCAAGTCCCTCCCCGACCCCGAAAGCCTGTCCCTTCCTCCTAAATGCCCCAGCCTAGACTTGCATGCCTCTGTCCCACCAGCTTACAGATCTGCTCTCGTGTCCTTGGGCTTCCGGTTCCAGTGCAGGTGGGGGGGTCACACAGTTCCCTGTTGTTGGCGCACTGCCCCGGCCATTCTGGTCTGCTCAGCTAGCCCTTTGCATCCAACCTCATATACTTTCCCCAAAAGTCCTGTCAGATCACCCTCTGGTCCTCAATCCCATAAGCTCTTGTCCTCTTCTTCGGGCTGTTACTACGCTTGTCTTCACTCTGCTGCAATTTATTCATTTACATGCCCTTCTGCCCAGTACATATCAATGACATACCAATGACAGTGCAGCCAAGTGCCAGCTTGGTCTTGTTTTGACCCACAGCGCCAGGGGGCCATCATTATCCCTGTTCTGAGGAGAAGGAAACTGAGGCACGGAGAGGTGAAGTGGCTTGATCAAGACCCTTACCTAGTAAACGATCTAACTGGAATTTGAGCCCGGTAGTCTGACTCCAAGGCCTGTGGCCTGGAATTTCAGGAAGAAGTTAGGAATTTAGAGGAGGAAGGAATGGAGTTAGAAGGAAGGAGGTGAGGGTGTAAGTGGATTAGTTAGGAAGAAAGGAAATTAGGTGGCCCAGGAGGCAGAGAGGTAGTTGAGAAGGAAGGAAGGAAAGGAGAGAGGGGGAAAGAAGCTAGGAAGGAAGGGAATTAGGACAGAAGAGAGGAAGGCAGGGACAGTTAGAAAGGAAAAAGGAAGGAATAGAATCAGGAAAGACGGTGTTAGGAAGGAAAGGGAGGAAACTGGTAGCCAGGAAGGAACGCCTCAGGGAACTTGTGTGCCAGTCTGGCAGCCCCGCAGGCTGGCGGGCAGGGGTCCCGCTCACGCCTGAGCCTCTCACCTGAAAACTCTGGGTCCAAGCTCACATCCTG